GCCTGCACTGATATGAGCCTGCACTGATGTGTGCCTGCACTGGTGTGAGCCTGTCCTGGTGTGAGCCTGTCCTGGTGTGTACCTGTACTGGTGTGAGCCTGTCCTGGTGTGTGCCTGCACTGGTGTGTGCCTGCACTGGTGTGAGCCTGTCCTGGTGTGTGCCTGCACTGGTGTGAGCCTGTCCTGGTGTGAGCCTGCACTGGTGTGAGCCTGTCCTGGTGTGTGCCTGCACTGGTGTGAGTCTGTCCTGGTGTGTACCTGCACTGGTGTGAGCCTGACCTGGTGTGAGCCTGTCCTGGTGTGTGCCTGTCCTGGTGTGAGCCTGTCCTGGTGTGTGCCTGTCCTGGTGTGAGCCTGTCCTGGTGTGTGCCTGTCCTGGTGTGAGCCTGTCCTGGTGTGTGCCTGCACTGGTGTGTGCCTGCACTGGTGTGAGCCTGTCCTGGTATGTGCCTGCACTTGTGTGAGCCTGTCCTGCTGTGCCTGCACTGGCGCAAGCCTGCACTGGTGTGAGCCTGCACTGGTGTGAGCCTGCACTGGTGTGCTAGAGCTGCCATATCAAAAGACCACAGACCAAGTGGCTAAGAAAACAGACATTTTTTTCTCATAGTTCTGGAGGCTGGAAGTCCAAGAGCAAGGTGTTGGCAAGTTTGGTTCTCCTGAGGCCCCCTTCTCTGCTTACACAAGGCCATCCTCTTGCTGCTCTCACACGGCCTTTCCTCTGTGCATTTCCCTGGCGTCTTTTCCCTTCTTCTAAGGACTTTAGCCAGGTAGGATTAGAGCCCCACCTTTCACTGTCATTTTAATAATCACCTCTTTGGAGGCCCTAATACAGTCAGGTGGCTTAGTTCTCCTCCACCCTACTGCCCCCAAAGGCCTTCGTTTAAACTTAATTACCTCTTTAAAGGTCCTACCTCCAAATATGGTGACATTTGTACCCCCTGGTATGGGGGTTGGGACTTCAACATATGAATTTTGGGGAACACAGTAATATGTGTATAGCCCCTAATTGTGCCACACACTTTGCAACACCTTCTTTTCCTTTGAGCACATTGCCTGATACCTGATAGTGTGGACCCACCACAAAGCAATACCACCTGCAAAACGCATGCGCTACAGCCAGCTGGCAGCTGGGAGAGCAAAGCTCGCCTGTCCACCATGTGGAAGTCCCCAAACATAAAGTTCAAAAGGCATAATAAATATCACCGTCAGCTGGAGCAGCCAGTGACCGAGCTCCACAGCAGGCACTGGGGAACTCACGGCTCGCCCGTCACCACACCTGGGCATCTGTAAGAGACCAAATGGCATTTACAATGAGGAGGGCCTGGGTCTCAGCAGGGTTTGGATGCAAGCAATAAGACAAACTTGGTCCCCTGACATCCAGTTCCAGCACAACCTCTGGGGATAAGGAGGACATGGTTCTGGATGGAGCGGGGACAGAACTCCATAGATGAAAAGGCTGGACAGGTGCATAGCACTGGTTAAAGGGGAAACTGAAGCCCATATGAGGAACTGAGACTTGACAAGCAGGGTGTGAGCCCAGGAGTCCACTGTTCTTTCATCCGAGACAATACAAGCACCTTGCCTTGCAGTCTATCTTGGTCCCCTAAAAAACAGATGTAAAATTTACCTGACAGAAACTGCTTTGCACACTTGGGATACAAACAGGATCCCACATCCTACTTTTCTAAACAGTTTCCTGGGCCACACAGGCCTATGAGCAGAAATCCAGCAGGTCTGGCTTGGAGCACCTCCCCGCAAATAGTATCCAAGAACGCAGGGAAGGAGCAAAGTTTAGCAACTGCAGGCCTGTCTCCCCCACCTGCTAGGTCCTTGCTCCCCCTCTTCAGCCCTCCCCTGCCATCTCTTTCTCTTTTTAAGCCCCTTTGTCCCCTTCAAGTTTAACTCAGTTTCCCCTTTCTCTGTCCCTCCTCCCACTGGCTTTAGATCTCCTTTTTAAAAAAACACCTTTTAAATTGGTATTTGAAATTGTCTAAACATGATTCTATAATATAAACTCTGAAAACTTTCTAGCTGCATGAGTGTTACAGCTATCATGCAAAATTACCCAAAAATGCACCCAAAAAGAACAATACGTGCTGATTGTTCAAGCAGAAAGACTCATTTAAATGATTTAAAATAAGTCATTGTAGCACACTATTTTTCCAGTGACCTTCGAATATGTATTTTCTCCATATAGTACACATGCTGTAACAGAAACCCCAGACACCACCCAGAAACTAGAGAGCCAAGAATATCACTGCCAAACGCACTACCACTGGTACCTGGGTGTCTTTCAAAACTGAATTTCTTTCAATCTTTAATATTATTGAAAATGAAAATAATCTTTGAGTATATACTATTTGTGGATGGCATACAAAGAGGGAGCCGTGGAGAGCGGCAAACAGAGAGAAAGCACTTTGATGGATACAGAAAGTTCTCTGGCTATGGATGGGAGGGAAACCCATCCCTGGGATTGGTAGATATGTTTAAATAAAAGAAGGTTTCACGCACAAGTGAAACCATTTCTTCATCCAGGTCAACTGTCGTCACTCCAGGAGTTTTGGGGTCAATCTCCAATCTCCTGTTTGCCACACTTTCTCCTTTGAGCTGTTGTTTTTGGATCTGTTTTTCGCAGCATACAAATATTTACTCACAATCAGCAAATAAAATGCCATTAAAATTTTGAAACAAAAGTGAAAACAACAGTTCCTGGAATGTCGTAAGCTGTACCTTAAAAGAAATCAGTGAGGTACAAATCATTTCAATCACTCGTTGGCTCCAAATTTGCATTTTTTAAAATCTGGTTGGAGGTATCAACCCAACTTCTCCTAGAGACCATCAATACGATTAATTTCCATTAAAAGTAATTGACTGAAGTTAAAACACACATAACAAAATGAACCCCTTTAGAGTGAATATAGTTCAGTGTGCTTCAGCCGGTTCAGAGTGTTGCGGCCCCATTGTGTTTAACTTCTTCCTGGTACACGCCTGTCTTCCATGCCCCCACCCTCCCACCTGCCGTAAATGAGCGCCTGAGAAGAACACATGAAGTCCAAAGCACCCCGGCTCCATCGGCTGCCTCCTCTCCCTTTCCAGCCGTCACATTCCTGCCCTTTCTCTGCTCAACTCCCCTGTCTTCTCCCTCGGACGCTCATCTTCCTCCACACCCACCTACAGAAGTTCTCCCTTTTCTGCCCTCGTCTGTCTGCCTCGTCGTCCCCTCTTCCTGGTTCCTTGAGCTCCTTCTGCTTCCTCGAGGGTACTCAGGACCCGGCAACTCTGCACACCTCAGTGCCCCGGGACCCTCGGAATTCCTCCCCTTTCCCACCAGGAACCCTCTTTCTTTCCGTTTATGTCAATCCCCATCCCCTGACCCCCACATCTGGGGTCCCTGTCAGCCTCCATCACCCCTACCGCCCTATCTCACCCTCCTTCCACGTCTCCTTCCCTGCACATTCCCAGTCCCCACCTGGCTCCTGCTCAGGTCTCCATAGCTCCTAGGGGGCCCTCCTCGCCCTCCACTCCTGCCCTGTCCAGCCCACCCCACCCCATCTCCCAGAATCCCTGTAAGGTCTCTCCCGCCCCAGTCCCCGCTGTGTCCATTTCCCACCCAAGTCTCTTGGTGCCCCCTTCCCCGGGCCTCTCCCACTTCCCCTCCTTATGCTTCCACTCGCCCCCACCCCTGCCTAGGTCTCCCAGCGCCCCCTGCAGGGCCCTCCTCCTCCCCTTATCTATTCCTTTCGCCTCCCAAGTCTCCCAGCTCCCCCTGCAGACCCTCCTCCCCTCCTTGTCCATTCCTCGACCCCCATCCCCGCCCAGATCTCCCAGCTCCCCCTGCAGACCCTCCTCCTCTCCTTATCCATTCCTCCGCCCCACCCCAAGTCCCCCAGCGCCCCCTGCAGGCCCTCCTCCCCTCCTTATCCATTATTGACCACTCCCACCCCCACCCAGATCTCCCAGCGCCCCCTGCAGGCCCTCCCCGCTCCTTATCCATTCCTCATCCCCCACCCCCGCCCAGATCTCCCAGCTCCCCCTGCAGACCCTCCTCACCTCCTTATCCATTCCTCCCCCCCACCCCAAGTCTCCCAGCGCCCCCTGCAGACCCTCCTCCCCTCCTTATCCATTCCTGACCACTCCCACCCCCACCCAGATTTCCCAGCGCCCCCTGCAGGCCTCTCTCCCCTCCTTATCCATTCCTCACCACCCCCACCCCCGCAGGTCTCTCAATGTCCCCTGCAGACCCTCCTCCCTTCCTTATTCATTCCTCACCCCCCCCCCCCGTCTCTCAATGCCCCCTGCAGACCCTCCTCCCCTCCTTATCCACTCCCCCCAGGTCTCTCAGTGCCTCCTGCAGACCCTCCTCCCCTCCTTATCCACCCCGCCACGTTTCCCAGGGCCCCCTCTCCTCCTTATCCTCCCCCAGCGCCCCTGTAAGGCTCTCCTCTCCTCCTTATCCATTCCTCACTCCCGCAGCCCCCAGGTCTCCCAGCGCCCCCTGCAGGCCCTCCCTCCCCGCTTACCCACTCCTCCCCCCGGGTATCTCAGTGCTTTTTGTGGGCCCTCTTTTCCTCCTTATCCACCACCCCCAACAGGTCTCACTGGCCCCCTGCAGGCCCTCGTGCTTTTCTTGGCTTACCTCTGAGATCTCCCAGCGCCCCCTGCAGGGCCCTCCTCCCTTCCTCACCCACCTCAACCCGGAGGTATTTCAGTGCCCCCTTCAGGACTCTCCTCCCCTCCTTAGGTGCCCACCTACCCAGGTCTTCCAGTGACCCCTGCAGACCCTCCTCCCCTCGTTATCCACCCCCTTCAGGTCTCCCAGTGCTCCGTGTGGGACCCTTCCCCGCTCTTCACGCACAACCCCAGGTCCACCAGTGCCCCTTGCAGGGCCCTCCTCCCCCTCCCCCTACAGCACATCACCCCTCCCCCAACCCCACTGGCTCCGCCCCTTCGCTCCCCCCACGCCCCTCCCCCGCTTTCTGCCCCGCGCCTGCGCACTGCCACCCTCCACTCTCGCGCCAGCCTGGCGGCGGGCGGCTGTGACCTGCAGCACCCGGCGCTCGAGGTGGAGCTCACAAGCGACCGACGCAGTGGGCAGTGCACACCGGCCACGCCTCCGGCGGTGAGGGGCCGCCCTGGGCAGGGTCAAGCCCTCCGGCCCTCCTCCAAGAGCAAGGGCTGTTCTGGGCCTGGTCCGAGGGGTTGGCCAGAAAGGCCCGAAGGCGGGCGGCAGACGCTGAGGGGCTGTCGGGGGGGGGGGGGGCGGGTGTGGGGGGCAGCGTAAAGCAGGGGTACCGCCAGGCCTCCAGAGGGGTGTGCTTGGCCTGGCTGAGGCCTGCTTGGCCGAGTCTGGGTGGGGTCGAGGCCACTAGGCCCAAAGCCTGCCTGGCTCTGAGGGCGCTAGGTATAGAACCGTGCACAAGGGCAATGTCTGCCCGAACGTCGCTAGGCCCAGGATGGGCACTGGCCCAGAGCCTGCTAGGGCCCAAACCTTGCTACGCTCGGGATATGCACATGCACTGACCCGGAGCCCAAACCTCGCTAGGCCCAGGATATGCACGGGCCCGGAGCCTGCTCAGGTGCTCTGCTAGGCTCAGGATGTGCCCCAAGCCTGCAGAGGCCCAAAGCTGTTCCTCCTAGAGTTTTGTGCAAAATCCTGCTTCAGCCTAAATCCCGCTTAGCCTCCACCCGCTCCTAGACCCAGGCCAGATCAGCATTGTCCTGACGCTACTAGGTCTAAAGCCTTTTGAGGCTAGACCTTGTTTCAGCTCCAAAGCCTGCTAGGCCCCAGCACCCTGTCTTCCCCTGTGAAAGCCGCTTGCTTCTTTCTCATACAGGCTCCAAGTCATCATGGCAGCCACTGAGATCTCTGTCCTTTCTGAGCAATTCACCAAAATCAAGGAACTCGAGTTAATGCCGGAAAAAGGCCTGCAGGAGGAGGAAGAAGACGGAGTGTACAGAGAGAAAGACCATTGGAGTCCTAGTGAGTTGGAGGCTGAGTGTACCTCTGGGGCCGAAGAGCTGGAGCTGGTGCCCGCCTTCTCGGAGGAGACTGAGAAGCACATCCTGACCCTGCAGACGGCGCCCTTCACTTCTGAAGCTTTCAAGTTGCAGGATTTGAGCTTGCTGAGCGTACAGCAGCAAGAAGAGGGGCAGGTGATGGTGCAGCAGGCTGGCCCTGGGTTGCTGTGGCTTGAGGAGGGGTCCCAGCAGAGCTTGCAGCAGTATTTGGCCATTAGTTTCCAGGAAGAGCTGTACTCCCTGCAAGAGACGGAGGTGTTGCAGCTTCACCTTGTAGAGGATAATGTGATGGCCAGTGAAGAGAGTAAGTTAGCGGCGAGCCTGGCTGAAAGTGCTGGACTGACTAAGGTACAGCTGGTTTTAATAAACCAACCCCTTACATGAAAAGAAAAAACTCACGTCAGCTTTTATGCAGTATTATGTCTGGACAAGGTATTTTTCTAATTAAAGACAGTAAAAATACTTCCCAGGAAAATCCTGTTCTTTTTTTAAAAGATTTTAGAAGTTGTGCTAATTGGAATACTGTAAGGTGCATTATGTTTTTTTTAAAAAGTGTTAAGTTTCACTGCCACAAACCTGATGCTAAATAATTAACATTGTGATGTATAATCTTCAACTTTTGCTTTGCTTTTTGTATTCTATGGTTTATCCAGGCAAAAATTTAATCATATTGAAATTAATAGTGTATTTGTTTGAATATTTATTGTTGTTTTCTAGCTCCAGGAAAGGCAGGAGAAGGAGCAGTTATTGCCTGAAAGAAGATTGGCTAAAAGAACAGAGGAGCAATTCTTACATTTGGAAGTGATGCCAGGAGACAAAGGAAGTGATGAAATCTCTCTGAAAACTTCAAATTTAAACATGGAAGAACAAGAGGATCCACCTCTAGCTGTTCCAGCAAATGTTGAAAAGGCCAAATCTGCAAAAAATCAAAGTCAGGCAAAGGGTAGGCTAGCTCATCTCATAGAAGACACTCCATAAAACTGGGCTGCTGTTTTTCTTTATGGGAAGGTGATGGTAATTGAAGTTTTAAGTAGTTGACTTTCAGTTGCTTTCAAAATGTCAGGAAATGGGAAAAATTTTAAACTAATGTTCTGTATTGTGAATCAAATCCATAAGAGTTTTGCATTTTGCACACAAACGTTTTTAAAGCACAGTAAAAATGTTCCCACAAAGCCTTGTGCACATAAGTTTAGAAGGTCAAGCCCTGGTCTTTGCTGTGTAGTTTGCAGCCCCAGAGGGATATGGGGGACGAGTCATTACAGGACAGGTGGTGAGGCCTTGTGTGCTTCAGGGCCGGGAGAAGGCATGATTCCTCCTTCAGGAAGCAGTGGAGGGTGACTTCTATGGGAGGTGATATTTAGGTGAGTCCAGGACAAGGAAGCCATTAAGATAGGGATCGTGATTCCAGGCACTAGGAAGCGGTCTGGGGGTGTAGCTCTGAAAGTATCTGCTTTGTATGTGAAGGTGGAGAGCTCTACGGTGTCTGTAGGGCTGGGTGGGTGGGTGCTGGGTGCTCAGAGAGGTGGATAGGGCCAGATTAGGGAGACCCTGAAGCAATATTAAAGCCATATTAAACTGAGATCGCATTCCAGCAGCCCACAGGATGAATCTGTCCTATGAAAATGATTTGTTCAGCTTATTTTTTTTTAAATATTAGTTTCTCACATTTAAATCAACAGATTTCACCCCCAAAATTTCCATTTCTAGCTCTTTTAAAAAAGTATATCTTGCAACATTTGGCAGTTTCCTTCCTTCTGGCAACTGGTGCCTGGGATTGGAAGGTGACTCCGTGTAGAAAAGGAGAATGCTGCCCAAACACACTGCCACCACCCTCGTTCTTACATGTGGTCAGGGCCCTTTACTTAGGTTTCTGGCCTCTGCCTTCCATAAGTGATTGAGTTTCAGCCTCTTGATATATAGTAGTTTCTCATTTGTATAAATCAAGAGCCTTGTACCCCACATTTTACCATTTCTAGCTCATTTTTAGGTTTTTGATGTAGTCACAAATTTGTAGAACCATCACCAAGCACTGTCTAAATTCCGAAATATTTTTATCACCCCAATAAGAGGCCTGTACCTGTTAGACAGTTGCTTCCTACTCCCTTCCCCGCCACCCCCAGCCCCTGGCTACCACTCATCTATTTTTTTGTTTCTATAGATTTTCCTGTTCTATACATTTTCCAGATGTTGAATCATGTATGTATACCATGTGGCCTTTTGTGTCTAGATTGTTTAGCTTAGCATAATGCTTTCAGGGTTCATTGGTATTGTAGCACATGTCAGTGCTTCATTCATTTTTAATGGCTAAGTAATAATCCCTGTATGGGTACACCACATTTTATTTATCCATTCATTCATAGATATACACCGCAGTTGTGTCTACCTTTCAGCTAGTGTGAATGGTGCTGTTATGACCATCTGTGAACAAGGTTTTTGTTTGAGCACGTGTTTGCAGTCCTTTTGGGTATATACTTACAAGTGGACTTGTTGGATCATGTGGTTACTCTATATTTAACTTCTTGAGGAGCTACCACACTATTTTCCATAGCAGCTGCACCAGTTTGAATTTCCACCAGCAGTGTGTGTAGCTTCCAGTTTCTCCACATCCTCACAATGCTTACTTTCTATTTGTTGCTATTAATTATAGCCATTCTAGCAGAGGTGAAGAGGTATTTCATTGTACTTTTGGTTTCAATCTATGTAATGACTAAGGGTGTTGAGTATCTCTTCGTGTGCTCATTGGCCACTTAAGTATCTTCTTTGGAAAAAATGGCTATTTAAATCTTTGACCCATTGTTAACTGGCACTTTGTTAGCTTCCCAGGGATGCCAAGACAAAGCACCACAAACTGAGTGACTTCAAACAACAGAAACATACCTCTCACAGTTCTGGAAGCTGCAAGTGTGAAATCGAGGTGTTGGCAAAGCCATGCTCTCTTGGAAGGCTGTCGGGGAGAATATATTTTGTGCCTTTCTCTTAGCTTCTGGTATTGCCAGTAGTCATGCCATTCATTGGCTTGCAGATGCATTGCTCCAGTCTCTGCCTCTGTTATCACATGTAATTATTCCTGTGTGTCTGTTTGTGTCCCTTTATATTTTGGGACTGTTATTAGGTGCATATACATATTTGTTTGGTTGGTTGGTTGGTTTATTTTGAGATGGAGTCTCACTTTGTCTCCAGGCTTGAAGTGCAATGGCACAGTCTCAGCTCACTGCAACCTCTGTCTCCCAGATTCCAGCAATTCTGCCTCAGCCTCCTGAGTAGCTAAGATTGCAGGCATGTACCACCACACCCAGCTAATTTTTGTGTTTTTAGTAGAGATGGGGTTTCATCATGTTGGCCAGGCTGGTCTCAAACTCCTGACCTCAAATGATCTGCCTGCCTCAGCCTTCCAAGTGCTGGGATTACAGGTATGAGCTACATATGTGTCTGGCCACATACATGTTTATAATTGTATCTTTATGGTAGATGGACCCTTTCATTATTATATAATGCCCTTTTGTATTTTATAACAATTTTGTCTTAAAGTTAATATAGTCTGATATTTATATAGCCACCCTGGCTATCTTTTGGTTACTATTTGTATGGAATATCTTTCTCCATCTTTTTACTTGCAGCCTATTTGTCTTTGAATCTAAAATGAGTCTCTTGTAGAAGATAAATAATTGCATCTTGTTTAGTATCCTTTCAGTCAATCCCTACCTTTTCACTGGAGAGTTTAATCTCTTTACTGATAAAAAAGGGGGTGCCTATCTCATTATTTCTGTATTTGTTTTTTAAATGTCATATCTTTTATTCCTCAGTTCTTTCATTACTCCTTTCTTTTGTATTGAATAGCCACTGCCCAGGGTATCATTTTAATTCTTTTAATTATTTATTTTACTATATATTTTTGAGTTATTTTCTTTAATTGTCCTTGGTGTTACATTTAACATCTCAATTTATAATATTCTGGTTAGGTTAATGCCAATTTCAATAGTATATTAAAAAAAACTTTGCTCCTATACAATTCCATTCCCCACTCCAATTCCTGTTGTTATTGTTACAGAGCATATCTTTATAAATTAAATACCATCAACATAGATTTATAATTATTGCTTTATGCTTTCTTTGAATCGGATAGGAAGAGGATTACACATTAAAAATGCATATTGTCTTTTATATTTCATATGTTGTTACTTCTACCACTGTCTTTATTTTTTCATACGGATTTGAGTTGTTTGGTATCCTTTCATTTCAGCCTGTTGGAGTCTCTTTAGCATTTTTTTTTTGTAGGATAGATCTGCCAATGACAGGCTCGCTCAGTTTTTATTTTTCTGGGAATGTCTTTTTTTTGTTTTTTTGTTTTTTGAGACGGAGTTTCGCTCTTGTTACCCAGGCTGGAGTGCAATGGCACAATCTCGGCTCACCACAACCTCCGCCTCCTGGGTTCAGGCAATTCTCCTGCCTCAGCCTCCTGAGTTGCTGGGATTAAAGGCACACGCCACCATGCCCAGCTAATTTTTTGTATTTTTGGTAGGTGGTCCACCTGCCTTGGCCTCCCAAAGTGCTGGGATTACAGGTGTGAGCCACCATGCCCGGCCGGGAATGTCTTAATTTTGCCTTCATTTTTGAAAGGAGGTTTTGTCAGACATAGAATTCTTGTTTGATGTTTTTTTTTTTTTTTCTTACAGCACTTTGAATGCCATTCCACTACTTTCTGGCCTCCATGATTTCTGATGACAAATCAGCCGTTAATCTTATTGATAATCCCATGTATGTGACAAGGCATGTCTTGCTGCTTTCAAGATTCATTCTTTGTCTTTCAGCAATCTGATTATGTTGTGTCTGTGGATCTTTTTTACTTTATCCTGCTTGAAATTTATTAAGCTTTTTGGTGTATAGATTTTATTTGTCACATTTTGGGAGTTTTGGCAATTATTTCTTCAAGTATTCTCTTCTCCTTCACTTTGGGCCTTCCATTGTGTGTATGTTAGTGTGCTTGGTCATGTCCCACAGATCTCTTGGGCTCTGATAATTTTTCTTTGTTCTTTGTTTTTCTTTTTTTCTCTCAAACTGAATAATCTCAATTGACCTGACTTCAGGTTCACTGACTCTCTTCTTTTTGCTCAGCTCTGCTGCTAAGTCCCTCTGTTGAATTTTTCATTTCACATATTGTATTTTTCAATTCCAGAAGTTCTAATTTTTTAAATGAATTTTATCTATTGTTATTCTCAATTTGCTGAAGCATCATTTTCATGTTTTTTGGTTTTTTTTTTTTTTTTTTTTTTGAGAAAGGGTCTTACTCTGTCACTAAGCTGAAGTGTAGTGGAACAATCATAGCTCACTGCAGCTTCAAACTCCTGGGCTCAAGCGAGCCTCCTGCCTCAGCCTCCTGAGTAGCTGGGACTACAGGCATACCCCACAACACCTGCCAGATTTTTAAATTTTTGATAGAGATGGAGTCTCACTATGTTGCCTGGGCTGGTGTCAAACTCCTGGCCTCAAGCAGTCCTCCCACCTTGACCTCACAAAGCTTTAGAATTATAGATGTGAGCCACCATGCCTGGCCTTTCTTTTAGTCCTTTAGACTCAGTTTTCTTTAGGTCTTTGAACATATTTTTATGTTAAAATAAAATGGCTCATGCCTATAATCCAGCACTTTGGGAGGCCAAGGCCAGTGGATCACGAGGTATTGCTTGAACCCAGGAGGCGGAGGTTGCAGTGAGCCAAGATCGTGCCATTGCACTCCAGTCTGGGTAACAAGCGAAACTCTGTCTCAAAAAAAAAAAAAATGTTTTAGATAAAATATGATTTAGGGGCCAGGTGTTTTGGCTCACGCCTGTAATTCCAACACTTTGGGAAGCTGAGGTGGGCAGATCACAAGGTCAGGAGTTCAAGACTAGCCTGGCCAACATGATGAAACCCCATCTCAACTAAAAATACAAAAATTAGCCTGGCATGGTGGCAGGTACCTGTAGTTCCAGCTACTCAGGAGGCTGAGGCAGGAGAATTGCTTAAATCTGGGAGGTGGAGGTTGCAGTGAGCCGAGATCACACCACTGCACTCCAGTCTGGGCGACAGAGTGAAACTCTGTCTCAAAAAAAAAAAACAAAAAAACAGACACACACAAGGTAAAGGTGGGAGGACAGTTTGAGCCCAAGAGAGTTCAAGACCAGCTTGCACAACATAGCAAGACCTGGTCTCCAAAATATATATATATATATACATATATATGAGTTAAAGTCTTTTTCTAGTATGTCCAATCTCTGGACTTCCTCAAGGACAGTTTCTATTAATTTTTTTTTTCTCTGAATGGGCTATCATATTTTTTTGTTTCTTTGCATGCCTTATGATTTTTTACTGAAAACTGGCCATTTGGAACGGTATAATGTGGCAACTTTGTAAATCAGATTCTTTTCTCCCCACGGTTAGTTGTTGCTGCTGGTGGTATTCATTGTTTGTTTGATAACATTTTTGAACTAACTTTGTAAAGTCTGTATTCTTTCTTTGTGTGGCTGCTGAAGTCTCTGTTAATGACTAGACAAAGACTTTCTTAGACACCTGAAACCAAAAAAGAAAAAAAATTTCTTAAATCTCTCAGTCTTTGCTGAAGAGCTCTGTGTGTTTACTAGAGCTGGCCTTCCCAACATTCGTCCAGCTCTGTCTTAGCCTTTACTTCGTGCTTCCTGCGAGCACTGAGGTCAGCCAGCAATGAGGGCTTGGAGCCTTCTCAAGCCTTCTCAGCTTGTTCCTGAGCCAGGAGCGTACTCATGGACTTCTCTATTCCAAGGAATATGTTAGAGCTTGTCTGTGCCCTTCTTCCCCAAAGCATCTCATTCCTCAGCCTTTCCTCCCAAGGTTTTTGTTAGTTCATTATTTGCCCTCACTGATATCTATTGCCTGTGAATGTTTTCAGCAAACATTCCTCCACTCACCTCACTCCAGGTAGCCTCTTTAGCACTGGGCAGTTTCCATGTTAGGCGAGAGATAAAGGCAAACCTTTTAACATGATCTTTTCTAGGAAGCCACTAGGCAGGTGAAAGCAAAAATTAGAATTTTTTGTGAATGACGCCTATTCTGCACTGTCTGGCACTGATGCTGTGCATTTAGACTGTTAGTTTCTTTTTAGTATTATTGTATTTTGTGTTTAAAAAAATAGAGATGAGGTCTTGCTATGTCACCCAAGCTGGTCTCAAACTCCTGGCCTCAAGTGATCCCCTTAACCTCATCCCCTCAAAGTGCTAGGATTGCAGGCATGAGCCACCACACCTAGCTTGGACTATTATTTTCAAGGCTACCCCTGAGCTAGGGAGCAGAGAATGGAATCAGCATAAGTTAGAATTCCACCAAGCTGTCTTTTTTACTGAGAATCAGCTAGATTTTTAAAATTGTTTCCCCTGGTTTCTGGAAGCTTCCAGTTAGTTTCCAGTGTCCTGAAAAAGTTGCTTGTGACATTTTTTGCCAATTGTTTTCATTGCTTTTATGGAGGGATGGATTTTTGGAATAATAACTCAGCCATTGCCTCTATTTGATGATTCCAACACCTGAAGTCTTCGTAGGTCTGGGCCTTCTGTTTGTCTCCACTGCCCGCACACTGGCATCTTGTTTATCACTTTGAGCTCATTGGTTCTTTTTAGTGTTGTCTATAGGAATCCCTTAAAGCCTGGGGTAAAAGTGGGTTCTTTGAGGGGATGGTATTAATTTCCGCCAGGAAGTGATGGTCAAAAACTGTCTTAAACCAGATCCCCCAAGGGTCACTGTTAGAACCACTCAGGACGTGCTCACTGGGGCCACCTTCCCTCTTGGAGCCATCTTCTTGCAGGTATTTCTTCACCTTTCAGTCAATGCTATGCCAGCATGATCCAAGAGAGCTGCCTTTGCTGATGGAAATGGTCTTTATCTGCCCTGTTCAGTATGGTAGCCACTATCTCCATGCAGCCTTTGGGCAGCTGAAATGTAGCTTACAACAGAGGAACTAAAGGTTGAATTCTATTTAAATTTAATTAGTTTAAATCCAAATTTAAGAGTCACACGTGGCTCATGGCTATGGTTTTTGGATGGCACAATTCTAGCTGGTTTTTCTCGCAGTCCTCTGGCTGGAGTGAAGGATGCAGGGATGGGGCAGGTTATCTTCAGTTCACCCTACAGAGAATGCATCCCTTCAGGGCCACATTTTTATAGGAGAATCTCTTCGCAAGTGCCCCACTTTAGGCAGGCATTGTGTCTTTTCTCGTGTCTCCTTAGGTCTACAAGACATTCTGAAATGTTCAGGCGTCTTCCCTCTAGCTTTTTTTTTTCTCAGCAAGAACGATGAGCAGAGTACCTAGGCCACTGTGTGCCCAGAAACAGACACCAGCCCATCTCAAAACAGAAAATGCACTGCTCATTATCCAGGAGCATGGTGTCCTGAATTGCTTCCATCAGCTTCTGAATTAATATGTTCTACTGTTCAGTTCCCATGTTAGTTGAAAAGAGGATGTGCCTTTTTACTTTCAAATATTTAAATGGAATTTGAACCTCAAAATAAATGAATACATAAACTGTCTATTTCCTGCCTATAGGAGCAAAACGAACCTTCTGCTGTGATGTCTGCATGTTCACCTCTTCTAGAATGTCAAGTTTTCATCGTCACATGAAAACTCACACCAATGAGAAGGCTCACCTGTGTCACCTCTGCCTGAAAACCTTCGGCACAGTCACTCTGCTACGGAACCATGTCAATACCCACACAGGTAAAACCTCAGGGCAGGCCATTTCTCTGGAATAGTGTATGTTCAGGCTTATGTAAGAATGTGAATCCCCTGTTTCTACAGTAGCATTGTGTAGCGTTTTATACTTTAGTCTTTTTTTTCTTGAATTTCCATTAAAAATACTGAGTGTTACAAAGATTTTTCTCACATGCATCTATGGTATTTACAAAGAGCCTCTTCTTAATTTTTAAAGCATTTTTGAGACTAAGTATAATTTAAAAGCTATGAATTCCTTAGAGTTTTTGGTTAAGGCCTGTTTTAAAAGTATGAACTATGTGATTTTACAGGAACCAGGCCCTATAAGTGCAGCGACTGCAACATGGCATTTGTCACCAGTGGAGAACTTGTCCGACACAGACGCTATAAGCATACTCATGAGAAACCCTTTAAATGCTCCATGTGCAAGTATGCCAGTGTAGAGGTGAGGCCATTCTTGGACTTGAAGCTTCATGATGTCTTAGTAGAGGCTGCTATACAAGTTATGCCAAGTGTAACTGACAGTAGAATCTGTTACAAACAGGCTTTGCTGAAGATACTATTCATATAAAACATATGCAGGAAGTAATGTGTATTCTCATTTATGAAGTTAAAATAGAAAATTGGATCTCTTTGTTTCTTTGATTAGTAATTAGTGAAAATAATATGTAAAGGTGTACAAATTACAAATACATTACTTGTGGTGAAGAAGTCAGTCCTGGATTTGTCTAAAAGTTCTGCATTTTATCTAGTACTAGGGACCACGAAATCAAAATGTGTTTGCTCTAACGTAGAATGCAGATGCAATCTGAATGTTGGCTGAAATTTTTGAGCTTAGTTAGATATACAGGAGCTTGCTTGAAGATTTAAGCATAGCCATTGCTGTTCTTAATTACAGAGAGACTGCCCTTTCCAAACTTAAGGTGTGTCATGGTCATTTGAATTAATTTTAGTTAATTTGCTTTATTTGTACCTTCTAACAGGTCTAGCAGTACTCACATGAAACATCATTGACTCATCACTGCCAGTTTTCCACCAGTTAATTTTCGGAGTCCCACTGTGTGTTGGGAAACAGGCTGAGGCCGGTATTGAGCCCGGTCAGGACTGGGTAAACAGTACACTCAGATGGAACTAAGTTAAAGGGAATGGCTAAACATTAAATATAGTAACAGTGCAGCTGGGTTTCACAAATTAGGAAATTTCATGGATAGGGTCAGAATTTGATGCCGAGAACTTTTTTCTGCTGTTACTATTTTTAAAAAATTATTTCTCATCTGAGTTAAAGGTTGTGATTGTAGTATGAGAATGAAGAATGAAGGGTTCAGGGAAGAGAGTCAGCTGGGGATCCTAGGCCTGGAGTGGACTCTGTGTTGGTGTCCTGCCAGTGCTCGGGGTACACTTCCTAGGTCTGCGAGGCCCTCCCCCAGTGCCAGCAGTCTGCACTTAGGAGGCTAAGGCAGGAAAATCGCTGGAACCTGGGAGGCAGAGGTTGCAGTGAGCCAAGATGGCATACTCCAGCCTGGGTAACAGAGCAAGACACTATCTAAAAAAAAAAAAAAGCTTTTGAACTCAACTTGTCCTCACATCCCACCTTTAAGAGTCATCCAGAGTTTTTTTTATAGCGACCTTCTTTGCTCATTTATACCACTTATGCTCTTCAGACTTTTCATGCTATATAGTTTTAAAGATTCTTTTCATTTTGCAAATATGCTTGGAGGCATTCACTTTTCTTCTAAAAATCTAAGCAGAATGTTTTGGCTTGGCTGTTGTTTTCCATTGTAAGCTGTTTGTTCTTGAGTGTTCCTTAGGCTTCTGTGCACTCATCACTGGGGAGGTAGGTGGAGTGTGGCATCCCTGGGTCACCAGCGGGACTGGTGTGGCTTCCTAACTTCTATAGTCCACATATAGTTGACAGTCCGATTTCCTGCTAGGGGTCGATAGGGGCCTGCCATACACAAATACAGAATAAGAACAGTTCTAGAAGGCAATAACCCAGTCAGGCAGTGAATGCTCAAATGGGAGGTGTTATGTTTTTTGCTATTTAACTGATTGCCTGGGATACGTAATTATTCAAATTAGAATTTAATTTCTTCTACTTAAAACTTAATTCTTCTTAGGAACCCACTGTCACATGGTCCGATGCTGAGTAGCCAGGGATGCCTTCCGCCACTCACACTGTTACCCTGGGGCCAGCCAGGGTGGAGTCTGCAGGACTTGTGACCATGAGGCAATACATACAGATGTCCCTCTATTAAAGAGCTAGGGTTTCATTCTTACTCTGTTTTTTGAGACATGGTCTCACTCTGTTACGCTGGTTGGAGTGCAGTGGCCTGACCTCCGCTCACTGCAGCCTCAGCCTCCCAGGCTCAAACAATCCTCCCAACCTCAGCCTCCCAGGTAGCTGGGACCACAGGCGTGCGCCACCATGCCCAGCTAATTTTTTATTTTTGGTAGAGGTCTTGCCATGTTGCCCAGGCTGGTCTCAAACTCCTAAGCTCAGGCAATCCACCCACCTCAGCCTCCCAAAATACTGGGATTACAAGTGTGAGCCACCATGCCTGGCAAGAGCTAGAGTTTCAAAATTTTCACTTTATGCAAGAAATAAAAATGTTTGCTGTTGTGCTTTTACAGTGTAATGTAAATTTCGTAACGATTGAGAATGTGTTGCCCTAGAAATGAAAATAAAGTCTGGTATGGCATTCAGCAGGTGGGCTTGAAGTGAAGCTGAATGCGAAAGCCTCTCAGAAGTGCTGCTCATTTTCCCTAAAGGAGCTTATACACACACACATCAAAGGAAATAAAATCGCCTATAACAGATGATTAAAAGTAATGACTCTTTCATGTTTTTTCAGTGAGTGAAATATGCTCTCATGCTCTGATGTTAAAAATCTGATTCATTGAAATCTCTTTTATAATGCTGATTAATGGAAGACACTGCAATTTTTAAGTTTCCATTGCAATGAACATCTTTTATGTATTTATTAGGCAAGTAAACTGAAGCGCCATGTTCGATCCCACACGGGGGAGCGCCCCTTCCAGTGTTGCCAGTGCAGCTATGCCAGCAGAGATACCTACAAACTGAAACGCCACATGAGAACGCACTCAGGTAAGGGCTCTGGCGCTGAAGGCCTGATATGTACAGTGTTAGCTCTTAAAGCAAGCTTTAAAAAATTACTTTTTATTGGCACAGTTAAAGTTCAAAGGTAAAAGTGGATTTTTGCATGCCCTTGGGATACGAGGATTTTGATCCGTACCTTTGAGTTTATTTAGCAGTAAGAGAGTCTGCATAGATACTGTGCTGCAACTCCACTGCGCAGAATAAAACACGAAGTATTTCCCTCCGTAGATTTTTCAGGTATTTAAAACAACTCCCAGCCAGGCACAGTGGCTCAAACCTACAATCCCAGCACTTTCGGAGGCCGAGGCAGGAGGATCACTTGAGTCCAGGAGTTTGAGACAAGCCTGGGCAACATAGGGAGACCCTGTCTCTACAAGTAATTTAAAAATTAGCCGGGCCTGGTGGTGCACACCTGTGGTCCCAGCTACTCGGAAAGGTGAAACAGGAGAATCACTTGAACCTGGGAGGTTGAGGCTGCAGTGAGCCAGGATCACTCTACCACACTCCAGCCTGGGTGACAGAGTGAGAACCCATCTCAAAAAAATAGAAAAAAGTAAATAAAAACATAATAAAAGTCAAATCCTTAATTCATTCTTCAACTTTAAGGCAAAACATAGGACAACACAGGTACTTGATGTCTGGTTGTGTAAAGAATACATTTATGGGCACTTCCTGGTTCTTCATACAACCCCATGGATGTGAATCATCTTGAACTTCTGCATTGCTACCAGATGCAGAGAAGTCGCGTCTCTGGTCGGTCCTGGACACAGCTGTACTTGACATAAGCTGTCTGGGCTTGACGGGGGAATCTCATGCTGACTGGGGGTTGTCCTGTGAGAAGGGGCAGCTTGGGGCAAAAGAAACGCTTTCAGCACAGGTGTCCTTTGGCAAGGATCAGGCCTGGAGGGGGAATCACTTTGTTTTCTACATCTCAGGTGAGAAGCCTTATGAATGCCACGTCTGCCACGCCCGCTTCACCCAAAGTGGGACCATGAAAATGCATACTCAGCAGAAACACAGCGAAAATGTCCCCAAACACCAGTGTCCCCATTGTGCCACCATCATTGCACGGAAAAGCGACCTACGTGAGTGTTCTAGTGCTCTTTCTTTTACTACAGTATCTGCTGGCTCTTTGGAGAGAGGCCCTATAAACCTGCAGAGTACTGGCCCTGACACTGGGATGCCTGGTCTTTGGGAGCTTCGCCCTGGGACGAATTTTCTTCCAGAGGTCCTTTTGCACCATCTGGTGGCCGGATCTCATAAGTGCATTTTACAGCATGTTTTTGGAATTCAGGCCTGTTCCCTATGTACATGCTAAGACCTTTCACAGATGGGTATTATTTCATTCCACATTCAGCCTGTTTTTCAGATTAGGACCCGAGGCTCAGAGACACAGAGAAACCTGCCTGGGAGTTACATGACCAAGGATGCTAGGAGGTGGCTGGATTCTGGGTTCCTATATATCAGTGCTCTCTCCGTGACACCCAGCCACCTTTTCTTAAACCCTGGCTATGGGACTAAAAAGTTTTGGGAGCAGAAGGTACAAAAGACACAGTTTTCCCCTTAGGACAGTCACTTGGGGAAAGGAGGCGAGTCTGTAATGTGTAATCTGCATCTATCATGGTGAGTCTTTTAACTGTCAGACCCCACACAGTGGGAGTGAGAATCCAGAGGGACTTGGAGCACCAGGCCTAGGAGAGCTGGGATTTGATGCTGCCTGTGGGGAAGCCAGCCAGAGTTGAGCAATGGAAGGGAAGATGTGGGTAAGCCTGAGTGAATGAGCCTCTTCTTGGTTTCAGGATTCTTGGGCCTCCCTTTTTCCATGATCTTATTTCTCTTTCCAAAATATATGACACTGTGATACGCAAAATATATTAGCAAAACAAAATATTTACCCTTTTGGCCAAAGAAATTTTGGAGATAAGATGAACTTTTCGAAAACTTTTCTGAAAGGCGAAGGGTGTTTTGCAAAGTCTTAACTTTTATTTTTCATCTGGACCATTTTGTTACTGTTGCCATAGATATTAGCACATCACAAAACACAGCCCAGTGGGGCATAAGTGTACCCAGTTGCTAGACTCTTTTGACACCATGGCAAAGTAACACAGTTTGTATCCGTCTCATGCCAGTGGGTGATACACTTTGAATAGCCTGTAAGATGCTTTATAAACACATTAGTTCTTCCTTCCCATGGCTATATGAGAATTCAAGCTCTCTAAATGTGTGAGTCACTGTGGGTAAAGTGGAATACCTCTATCTTGCGTCTATCAATTGTCATTTGGTTTCTTACACAAATATCACAAAGCCATTCTTTAGACTTAGATGAGCAAAACTTACCCTAGAGTATATCCAGCCAGACCTTACTGGGTCCCTCAGGTTAATTTTAACATAGGAAATAACAGGGCACTGACTTCTAATAATGTATGGTTTTTTTACAGTAAAATAAAGATGTTGTATCTTTTTATATAAATCCACCTTAACATCATCCTAAAATCCACCTACCCCACAATATGGTAGTTCTCAAAGTGCTTTGGTAAATGCACATTTTAGGTCCAGTATGATATACCTTATATAACATTTAACTCCATTTGAAAGAGTATTAAAATGATATTTCAGCATTCTGTTCATTTAGAGCAGTGATTCTCAACTGGGAATGTTTTACCCCCCAGAGGGCATGTAGTGATATCTAGAGGTACTTTGGCTTTCACAACTGGGGAGGAAGAGTTGTTGCTGGCATCTGGTAAATGAAGACCAGGAATGATCCTTAACATGCTACAGTGCACAGGATAGCCCACCCCGCCCTTCCCAGGAAGGAACTAGCATGTTCCGGTGCCAAGGCTGAGAAACCCCCATGTAGAAGAGAGGGGAAGCAGGGCAACACTCTTGAAGTAGATAATGTTCTGTCTGTTTCAGGTGTCCATATCCGCAACTTGCATACTCATAGTGCTGCAGAGCTGAAATGCCGCTACTGTTCTGCTGTCTTCCATGAACGCTTTGCCCTCATTCAGCACCAGAAAACTCATAAAAATGAGAAGAGGTTCAAGTGTGAACACTGCAGTTACGCCTGCAAGCAGGTATTGTACTTTACTTAATTTGGAGAGACAGTGGTGCGTGGAAGAATGGAGAGTTGGGATGGGATTCGCTACCACTTTGAAAATACTGAGAAAGGTCAGAATAACTAGAAAGCAACTGTGAGCCAGTCATTCGAAATAGCAGTTCTTAAAGTATGTTCACATACCCCCAGAGGTCCCTGCAATCAACTAGGGGCCCACAAGAGCCAAGCCCTTGTTAGGATAATGGAAAGGTGTCATTTGCCCTTTTGAGACATTGACATTTGTACTTTCGGTGCCAAAGTAGTGGTGGTCCTTAGCCCAAATCAAGGCAGTGACACCCAGTGGAACAGGTTGTTGCAGTATTCCTCACCTTCACACACTGGCAGCAAAAATAAAGGGCAGTTTTATATGACAGTGTCCTCGAATAAGCAGCAAAAGTTGTTAACTTTATTCAATCTTGACCTGAAATACTCTCTTTTAAATATTCTTTGTGATGAGATGAGAAGCTGGCATATGTCCCTCCATCATCTGAAGCCTGGAGGGAAAGCACTTGGGGCTTGGTTGAGTTTCCAGCTCAATTAGCCACTTTCTCAGTGAATGTCATTTTCACTGAGAAAGGAACAAGATAAACGAACTTTACTTACTCAGTCATTGGGTGTTGGTGGACTTTTTTTTGAAAATGAACAACATAGGCCAGTCACAGTGGCTCACACCTGTAATCCCAGCATTTTGGGAGGCCAAGGCAGGTAGATCACAAAGTCAGGAGTTCGAGACCAGCCTGGCCAATATGGTGAAACCCCATCTCTACTAAAAAATACAAAAATTAGCTGGGTGTGGTGGTACACACCTGTAATCTGAGCTACTTGGGTGGCTAAGGCAGGAGAACCACTTGAACCTGGGGGGAGGAGGTTGCATTGAGCCGAGATCATGCCACTGCACTCTAGCCTGTGTGACAGACTGAGACTCCGTCTCAAAAAAAAAAAAAGGAAAGAAATGAAGAATGTGAGCCTGCCCTTGCAAGGGAAACACATATGACCAATGATGCAATTTCACTTTTCAAGAGAAAAATCAGAATTCAAATTTTGGAAAATGTATATTTACCATTACAAGCTTTACAGTGTTCTAATACTTAAGATTTTTCTGATAAGATTGGAGTGATTTTTAAAAGCAATTTTTATATTGTGTAATGAAATATGTCGGTATTTAGAAGATCTGTATAACTCAGTAAACCAGTATTTTCCAAATGACCAGTCCATGATGTTACAGACTCAAGCACAGGTAAAAGATCCATTCAAAGTAAAAGATAAACCAAGAGATTTTAATGTCATAGAGGAGAACAAGTTTATTGACAGGGTTTCAGATTCCACATTGCAACCCATGGTTAAGAAATTACATGGCCAGACATACTGGCTCACACCTATAGTCCCAACACTTTGGGAGATCAAGGAGGACAGATCTCTTGAACTCAGGAGTTCAAGACCAACCTGGGCAACATAATGAGACCCCATCGCTACAAAAAAAAAATACAAAAATTAGCTGGGTTGATGGTGCCTATCTGTATAGTCCTACCAGCTACTCAGGAGGCTGAGGTTGGAGGATCACTTAAGCCCAGGAGGTTGAGATTGCAATAAGCTGTGTTCCTACCACTGTACTCCAGCCTGGGCAACTGAGTGAGACTCTAAAAAAAGATATTACTACTCACTGAGTTTTGGTATAATAGTGGAGAAAGAATGCCCACAGTTATTTGGAAGAGCCAGTAAAATGTTGCTCTCTTTTCAAACTACGTGTCTATGAGAGCAGATTTTCTTTTCACTTAACATACTCAGTGGACTGATGGAAGAGCAGAGATAGGAATCCATTTGAATGCTTTGAATGGAGTTGTCAGACTTAGCAAATAAAAATATGGTACACCTAGTGACATTTGAATTTCAGACAACAGTTTTTTATTTATTTATTTATTTTTTTAAAGACGGGGTTTCACCATGTTGGTCAGGCTGGTCTTGAACTCCCAGCATCAGGTGATCCGCCCACCTTGGCCTCCAAAGTGCTTGGATTACAGGCGTGAACCACCCCTCCCAGCCATGAATAGTTTTATATACAAGTATGTTGCAGCCTGTATTGTAACTGGCAACCTTATCTATTAAGACAGACATTAGGTTAGTTTTGTTTTGAAAAATAGATAATATAATTTTACAGAAATAATATGTAGCTGGTTTGTTGTTATTTTTAAATGAGTTGATAAACTTTTATTTTTCAAAATCCATTAGAATTCCTCAGTTTTGCTAAGAAAGTAAATACTAATACATGCCATCTGTATAAATAAAAGCTCTTCAGAGGCCACAGTAATTTTTTAAAGTATAAAAGGTCCTAAGACTCAAAGTTTGAAAACCAAATCACTGCTTTGAAGCACTGCAAGCTATTGGTTACCGAAGGTGAAAATCAGTGCTTACTGTGTTTTGAAATGTGGGCTGTAAACTGTAAATGCTTTGAATAAAGGAAAAAGAGTTTTTCTGGTAGATTTTGAACAAAGAATTTTCTGAGGTCCCATGCTCAGATTTGTTCAAATGAAGTAGGAGGGCTTCCTGAAAGATGGGTAAGACTTAAAGAGGATGAGGGGCCTGGAGCAGGCACACCTCGGGTGTGTGGGAGCAGAGAGCAGCTAGCCATGCTGAGGCCGCAGGCAGAGGCTCGGAGCACTGTGGGGCACTCCGGGCTGCTGCGGTCCCAAAGAGCCAGGCTCGCAGAAGGCAGACCAGAGATTCTGTCCTAAAGGAGGTGATGAGCTGAAAGCTGTGTGTGGAAGAGGGTGTTCAGTGAATTGGCTGAAAGAAAAATTAGAAGAAAGACCAGTAATTAGGTTATTGACAGTAATGCAGAAAAGACCAAATATACATTTAATCCAAATAATCATCGCATTTTAAATAAAACAAAATGTATACTTTTGCCTGACTTCATACGTATTTTTGTCTTGATTTCCCAAATTATTTTCTCCTAAGCTAAAATCTCTGTTTAGGCCAGTTACAGTGGCTCACACCTAAATCCCAGCACTTTGAGGCTAAGGCAGGAGAATACTTGAGGCTAGGAGTTTGAGACCAACCGGGACAACATAGTGAGAACCTGCCTCTACAGAAATAAAAAGTGAGCTGAGCATAGTGGCACACACCCACTGTCCCAGCTACTCAGGCAGCTGAGGTGGGAGGATCACTTTGGCTCTGGAGTTTGAGATTGCAGGGAGCTGATTGTGCCACTGTACTCCAGCCTGGGTGACAGAGCGATACCCTGTCTCAGAAAAAAACTGGTATTAAGATCTGTTAGATACTATTGGGAAGTAAATGGAAAAATGTTTAGATACTTAACATATTGCAACCCCAAATGCCTGCTGAATTTAAACTCTGACATTTGATTTTTAAGTTTGCAGGTTCTATTTGTCCTTTGTAAACTCAGGTAATTGCAAATAATTGTATAGAAGGATGACTCCCAGTACGTGAGGGAACAAGCAACCATCCTTTCACGCCCTGATGTGTGTATTCCCACATCCCCAGTTGGATTGGAGAGCCAGCAAGGAATTCACGGCAAGACCTTTATCACTTGCTGATGCCGCATACAAGTTTGTTTCCTAGACAGCACATCCTGTGAGTGCTGCCCTGTTGAGAATGTGTTTGCAGTAATTCTGCTTAATAATGGACTCATCTTTGGGGAGGGAAATAAAAGGTAATGTACAATAAATAATGTCTAATGTGGAAAAAGACATTTTGAACTAGACAAGCTGCTTTCTTCCCCTTCCCTCTTAGGCACGTCATATGACTGCTCACATTCGTACCCACACTGGAGAGAAACCGTTCACCTGCCTTTCCTGCAATAAGTGTTTCCGACAGAAGCAACTTCTAAAGATTCACTTCAGGAAATACCACGATGCCACTTTCATCCCAGCTGTTTACAAATGCCCCAAGTGCGACAAAGGCTTTTCCCGCTGTGTAAGCTTATTTAAGTCACCATAAAGCCCCTGTGGAAAGATCCCTCTATCTCAGGAGGACAGTGTCAGACCAGGAGAGTTTAAACCTGGTTATAGAAACCTGCCAGGACTTCAGGAGCATCTGTCATGCCTTAGGAAAGTGGTTATTAGTTTTTTAAAATCATAAAATTCTTGAAGAATCCTATGAAAGTGTGGTCTCCTCATCCCCTAAAATAAAAGGACAATCCAACAAACAAAATCTTACAAATAGTTTTAGAGAGTTATCAGACTCCCCAAAGAGCCCCAGCTTCTAGAGTAATATTTTCAAATTGTTCCAGTGAACTAGATTTAGGCTACTTGACAGAGAGAATGCAATTTTCACACATTTCTCAGATGTCCCTAGAATAATGTTACTGGTATCTATAATCCCAGCTATTTGGGAGGCCAAGGTGGGAGGATCACTTGAGGCCAGGAGTTTGAGATCAGCCTGGACAACATAAGGAGATCCCCCCATCCCTCCAAAAAAATTAGCTGGGTGTAACAGTGTACCCCTGTAGGCCTAGCTGCTGAGGAGACTGACACGGGAGGACCACTTGAGCCCAGGAGTTGGAGGCTGCAGTGAGTCACGGATGCACCACTGCATTCTGGCCTCGAAAATAATTTTCCTGTCTCTAAAATAATTTTTTAAATTAAAAAAAAAGAATAATGCTGTTGGTACTGGGCTAAGCAATACATTTATGGTGTTATTCTGTTAGGTATTGTATTGGTTATCTATTTCTGCATGACAGATTACCTCAAAATGGAGTGGCTTAAAACCACAAACATTTGTCATCTGATAGTTTCTGTGGGTTGGGAACTTGGGAGTGGCTTAACTGGGTGGTCCTGGTTCAGGGTCACTCCTGAGGTTGCAGTTAGGGTGTCCACTAGGCTGTATCATCTGAAGGCTGGACTGGGGCCAGAGGCTCTGCTTCCACCATAGCTGCACCCACCACAAGCTGCTGGCCCAGGTCTCTCAGTTCCTTGCCACAGGGACTTCTCTGCAGGGCTGCTTGAGTGTCCTCCTGACTCAGAGCAAGTGAGAGAGTGCAAGCAGGAAGCCACAGTGCCTTTGGCAATCTAGTCTTAAATAGCACAACAGCCAGGTATGGGGGCTCACACCTGTAATCGCAGTACTTTGAGAGGCCAAGGCAGGCAGATAATTTGAGGCCAGGAGATTGAGACCAGCCAGGCCAACATGGTGAAACCCTGTCTCTACTAAAAAAAAAAAAAATTAGCCAGGTGTGGTGGTACATGCTTGTCATCTCAGCTACTTGGGAGGCTGAGACAGGAGGATCAGTTGAACCTGGGAGATGGAGGTTGCAGTGAGCTGAGATGGCACCGTGGCCTCCAGCCTGGGTGACAGGGCAAGACTCTGTCTCAAAAAAAAAAAAAGTGGCACATTACTTCTAGTCACAAGAAATGAATCATGGAGTCCCACCTACACTCAAGGAGTGGGGAATGAAGTTTCTTTTGAAATGAAGAGCATCAAAGAATTTTAGGACATTTAAAAACCACTGCACATGGCTAGCTAGATCCCTGGACCATGCAGGCTTCAGCCTAACTTTATAAAAGTTTTATAAAAGTTGAATTTTCTGAAGTTGACCATTTTTAAAAAATCTTTCTTCTTAAAACAGTAGTGTAGTTGTGTTTGTCTGAGTGGCACAATGGGATAGTTCTGAAATGTCAACCCTATTAGTTTAAAATTTCAAATAAAAGCAGAGGCAGTGCTCCCAAAACAGTGTCGCTCATTCTAAAATTATAAAGAGTTAAAATTAGCGAGTAGAATTATAAAGAGAAGAAACTGTCCTTTGGTGCAAGAAATAAAATGTAGAGAAAAGAACCAGTCTGTTTCATGCTGTCCCTCAGAACGTAAAATCAGAAGTTTTGAAACTCCTATTCAAGAAAGCATGTTTGGACTTAAATCTAGAATATAAAAAGAAGTCTCGTAACTCAGTAAATAGACAGATACCCAATGAAAAACAGATAAAGTGTCTAAATAGACCTTTCTCCAAAGAAGACATACAGCTGGCCAATAAGCACAGCGTCATCAATCACCAGGGCAACACAAATCAGTTTCTGCCATGACTTCTTGAGTCTGCCCTTGTATCACAGAAGCAGCTGTGGGTGCAGTTTGTAAATGAATAGACCTGGCTGTGTCCCAGTAAAACTTGCTTTCTTTCAGAAACAGTTGGCAGCCAGATTTGACACACTGGTCATCATTTGCCAACTCCAGTGTCTAAGCATAAAATGGAAGTTTAAACAACCTGTTACATCGCCCCCACTTAGCACAAATTCTTCCTCCTCATCACAAACGCAGACCGTCCTGTTAAGCACAGTGGGAAAATCAAAGTGGAAACCAGGCAAGATGTTTTGTATGATTTCAAATTTAAACACCCATTACCAGTTTTTTACTTTTGTCTGGGACCCTTTCAAAAAGTGAAAATTTTCTAATGTAAATTATCCTAAGTGTTCATTAGATGAGACGATGTCACGAATAGGCTTGACTAGAAGTGTTTGACTTTCATTCCTGAATGCTGTATACAGTTTCATAACTGCTGCCCATGACCTCTGCCCAGTAGCTTTGAGAGAGAAGCTAACAGAATAGTAAAATCTTTATGGTATGTGGTTGATGGTTATAAAATTAACTGATGTATTGAATTTTTGGTTCAACATCAGTCTTCACTTTCAAGAGCAGAAGTATTCTAGAAAAATAAATTTTGTCTTCTCATTGATTTCTATTGTTTAAAAAATACTTAAAGCAAGCTAGTATTTGACTAGACCTAAACACAGCAGAAAGGGTCACCTTTAAACATCATCATTTTTGTGCAAGATTATCAAAGGTCCATGCTACCCGGTTTTCCCAAAACCTGTCTCTTTGTGCGTTTTTCAGTAAATTCGGTGAAGCCAACTCTTGTCGTAGAACCAAACTGGGATGTGCTTTCCTAGTGCAGTAAGACCAGATATCCACACCACAGTTTGCAGCAGAAGAGAGGAAGGTGTTTATTTGCAGGGCGCCAGGCAAGCAGAAACTGCAGACAAAATCGTAAATCATTGCATGCAGGATCCATCGCCCTGAAAGGCTCAGATACCTTGCGGCAGGAGCTTACAGGTTGTAGGTAGATTCAGAGACTCTGGTTTGCAATTGGTTAAGGAAGAGAAATTTTGTTTAAAATGTTGGGGTCAACAGAAAAGAATGTTAGCTCTGGTTCGTGGGCATGACCTCCTCCAGGCCTCTCAGTAGGAAATTAAGAACAAAATTAGAACAGATTTAGCAATGGTCAGATTTCAGCCCCCAGTTCCCCCTTACCTTAGGTCTACCTGCCAGGGGATCTGTTTGGTAAAGATCCAGGTTTCCAAAAAACAACTCAGGGGCAGACGTTAAGATACTGTCTTGGCTGGTGCAGTGGCGCACACCTGTAATCTCAGCACTTTCGGACGCCAAGGCAGGTCGATCACTTGAGGTCAGGAGTTTGAGTCCAGCCTGGCCAACATAGTGAAACCCTGTCTCTACCCAAAATACAAAAATCCGCTGGGTGTGGTGGCACACACTTGTAGTCCCAGCTACTTGGAAGGCTGAGGCAAGAGAATTGCTTGAATCCAGGATGTAGAGGTTGCAGTGAGCCAAGATCATGCCACCATACTCCAGCCTGGGGAACAGAGCGAGACTCCATCTCAAAAAGAAGCTGCTACCGTAGGTTTCTGTCAGGGCATCGAACACCCTGAGTTTAGCTTCCTTGGCTATTGTTTTAGGTTCCCATTACCTTTTCCTTTCTTTTTTTTTTTCTGCAGCCTCGACCTCCCGGACTGAAGCGATCCTCCCACCTCAGCCTCATGAGTAGCTGGGATCTCAGGGTACATGCCACCACAGCTGGCTGATTTTTTTTTTTATGTTTTATCTTTTGTAGAAATGGGGTCTCACTGTGTTGCCCAGGTTGGTCTCAGACTCCTGGGCTCAAGCAGCCCTCCCTCCTTGGCCTCCTAAAGCACTAGGATTACATATGTGAGTCACCATGCCCAGCCTCCTTCTTGCTAATCAGGTTTCTTATTCACTCCTCAGGGCTAGCAAAGTACCTGGAGTTTCCTTCAAAATAACTCAGGATGTTCCTTTATTTCCATGTTTGGGGGTCCCCACAGGCCCCTGGAGGGGTTACCTGCTCCATCTCACTTGCCTTGTGTGTTCTGTGTCAATTCTCCGGCAGAGTAACATGCGTAGACACTTGGAGAAGTGTGGCTCAGGGCAAGCGAAGGCAGCTGCTTCAGGAAAAGGAAGAATCAGAAAGAGGAAGCAGCCTGTCCCGAAGGAGGCCTCGAGGAGAGACGGTACTGATTTTATGCGGATTTGTTTTTAACACGGCAGTGCTTTTCTCTGGTTGTAAATGTCCTGGGTACCAAGTATTACTGTGCGGGGGACGTGTCCAGAGCCCCTGTTTGTCTACCAGCTGGTCCTACCAGGTGACTTGTGCCAGGCCTTTCAGAATGGCAGTGAGCATAGCGTGAGAAAGTCAGTGTGAGAGCCCCATGCAGGTCCGTGTGCAACCCCCACCCCCAGGAGCCCTCTTCCATCACGTTGGACTGTCACCTGCAGCTACGGGGACTGTTCTGGGCTGTTGCAGGAGATGACCACAAACTGGGTGGCTTGGGACAATGGAAATTGATTTTCAAAAAGCTCTAGAGGCCAGAAATTCTCAATCCAGGTGTGGGCAGGGCCTCCCTCCCTCTGGGGACCTAGGGGAGGGTCCTTCCTGGCCTCTTGCAGCTCTCGTGGCTCTGGCGTGCCTCAGTTTATGGCCACATCCTCCAGCCTGTGCCTTTGTCTTTTTGTAGCTCTCTCCTCTCTTCTATGTCTGGGCCTTCTCTTCTGCCTCTTACAAAGACATTTGTCACTTAGGATTTAGGAATTTAGGACTTCTTCTTTTGAAAAAAGGAGGTCAGCTATGGGGCTTAGGATATGGACATATCCTTTTAGGGACCACCATCCAGCCCCCACAGCCATCACCCTCTGGCTTCAGGGAGCTGAAGTGAGTTTCCAGGTTGGCGCGAAGCTGGGCCCTGTCCTGTGTGTCCTGTGCATGGCTCTGCTCTAAGAGGGGCAGACCCGACACCTGCACAGGTGAACACCTGCTCTCTTTAGCTTCTCCGCTCCTTTCCTTTGAGGACCTTAGAAGCTGAGATGATTGGAGACCATCCAACCTCACAGCACGAGCACGCGCCCCACGTTCTGATTCCAGCCTCAGTCTCTGCCTTGAGAATTTACCACATATGACAGCTGCCCTCCACCTGCCTTCCCTCAAGAGTTGCCAGATCAGATAGAGGATGCCCAGCTCAATCTGAATTTCAGATGAACAGTGAATCATTGTTCAAATGTGTCCCGCACATTATTTGGGATATGCTTACACCAAAAAAAAAAATGTCCATTATTTATCTGAAATTCAAGTAGAAGCAGGCGTCCTGCAGTCCCTTCTGCTGCCTCTGTGCGGAGTCAGTTCTGGGTCCCTGGTTCCAGCCGCTCTGTCCGCAGGCCACACTTGCCCACTCTTTCTGTGTGTCTCACCATCTGGCAAATCCCTAAGCCTCAGTGTGCCCCAGGCCTGCCTTTCCCATGCCTGTGTCACATAGCCAGGCCCTGTCTGGCAGGGCAATGGTGAGCCTGAGGGGTCCCAGGCAGTGCCCCGTTGCTCAGCTCAGCAGGAACTCTCCAGAATCAGCACCCTCCTTTCTCCTCCAGGGGTCAGCAGTTACCATTGACAGTGCATGTGAGTCCCTTCTTATCCTGACCACTGCCCTCTGCTGGGGGCACTGTCATCTGTCTGGCAGGGAGAGAGCTGTACCGAAGGGTGGGGACGAGCCTGCTCGGGCACCCAGGTCCTGGAGGGTGAGGCTGTGACCAGACCCCAGAGACCTCATACTGGACCTCAGCATCAAAAATTTTCTACTGATTTCCAATGAGCTCCTTCATCCCTAACTCCCAGCCCCTGCCTCCCTCCCTCTGGGTGGAGGCCTTGCTGACTGCACCAGCAGATGGGCTCTGCTGCCTGCTGCCCCTGGCACTCCTGTTTCCTCTCACTCCCAGCCTGAGTTCCCGCCATCCTCTGCCAGCTCCTGGGGCTTCTCCATCCGGCCCCATGGGCACAGGGCTGTCCACAGGGCTCATAGGGTCAGATCAGAAGAAAAATCAGTGTCACACCGATGGGTATCAAGTAATGGATGCAGCCTGGATTCCATTTGTCTTTATACCAATAATGTAAAATATCAATTTTCATATTTTTTTAATGGAGGAAGGGGCTGGAGGAGCCACTCCTTCCATCCGAGGCCACTTCTGCCTCTGAGTCTGGAACCCACCCCCCAGATCGGCAGCTTTATGACCCCCACTCAACCTCCTCAGCCAACTCATCCCTCCTGGCCTGCCCTTACCCATCAGCCTTAAATGTGCTCCATGTCTTCAGAAAAATAAAAGCACTTGGCGCGACCGCCCACCTGGTCCCCTGCTGCCCCTCCTGTGCACTTCACGCTTATTTGGTTATTTAATAAGCACCAGACTTCCACCTGCAGCACACTGCAGGCTCCTCCCAGGTGGGCCTGGCCCATTAGGTCTGTCCCCAGCGCCTGGTGTCAGGCCTGGCCTTAGCAGTGCTCATGAAGCCACCACTTATTGAATAAACAAGTGAATAATACGCACAGTCCTTTATTGGAGAAGACAGACCAGTGAAATGTGATTCAGCTGGTCCGCTCACATTGTGGAGATCCGAGGCCAGGTTACCGGCTGCCTGTGCTCTAAGTCAGGTCAGACCCTAAAATGTCCATGGGAAAATGTGACTTCTGCACTCATTAGACACCTAGAGGCACCTCTGCAGTTCTCCCCATCTTCACACCTCAATGTAGTGGTTTTTAATTATCTCTTAAATGAAACCTCTAGAAGACCAAGTGATTTGGGGTGAATTTTGAAAATGCCACCCTCAGTCGGTGATATTTTTGCTGTCGAGAAGAGTTGAGAAGGCTCTCATGGGCTTAAAACCTGCTGATAGGAATGGTGTTGTTCAGTATGCAGACTTCTCATATTTTTATGGTCAGCAGTGATAGCCAAGCAAGTGTGAATTAAGGCAAATAACCTGGCAAAAAATAGGACTGAATTTGCATTTCAGGGTTTTTACAGCCTGTGTCATCCAGATAATTGTCTCATTTCTGCATCTGCTCTGCGGGTGCACCAGCCTGCAGCACCTTTCCAATTCCTTGATGGATCTCGTCGCGTTACAATCTGATGGCATCAATGTGTGTGTGTGTGTGTGTGTGTGTGTTTAGACAGTTTCACTTTGTAGCTCAGGTGTGATCTTGGCTCACTGCAACCTCTGCCTCCTGGGTTCAGGTGATTCTCATGCCTCAGTCTTCCAGGGAGCTGGGATTATAGGTGCCTGCCACCACGCCTGGCTAATTTTTGTATTTTTTTTTTTTAGTAGAGATGGGGTTTTACCATGTTGCACAGGCTGGTCTCAAACTCCTGACCTCAAGTTCTCTGCCCACCTAGACCTCCCAGAGTGAGCCACTGTGCCTGGCCTGATGGCCTGTTTTGTGGACCTCAGTGTTTTTTTTCATATCTAAGAACTGGGTCTTCTTGTCCCCCCGCCATCCCCCACCCAGAAATACTTCAAGGAAACACAGGCAAAAATATCTTCAGACAACTTAAAACTGACATGAGGCAATAGCGTTCTTCAGTGTGGTGCTCTATGGGTGTTCGGGGAAGTCATTTGGAAGATAAATAGAGCAGAGGTTCCCAACCCCCAGGCCATGGACCTGTGGCCTGTTAGTAACAGAGCCTCACAGCAGAAGGGGAGTGGTGGGTGAGCGAGCGAAGCTTCATCTGTATTGACAGCCACTCCCCATCGCTCGCATGACCCCCTGAGCTCCACCTCCTGCCAGATCAGTGGCGGTGTTAGAGTCTCGTAGGAGCGCACACACTGTTGTGAACTGCACATGCGAGGGATCTAAGTTGTGTGCTCCTTATGAGAATCTAATTCCTGATGGTCTGTCACTGTCTCCCATCACCCCCAGAGGGGACCATCTAGTTGCAGGAAACAAGCTCAGGGCTCCCATCGATTCCACATGATGGTGAGTTGTATAATTATTTCATTAATATAATAGAAATAAAGTGCACAATAAACATAATGTGTTTGACCCATCCCGAAACCAACCCCCTCAACCAGTCCATGGAAAAACTGTCTTCCATGAAACTGGTCCCTGGTAATGAAAAGGTTGGGGGTTGACTATGGGTCAGCTCACAGTGGCCTGTTTAAAACTCTCTTAAGTCGTGCAGACTGGCTCCTGAGCTGCTGGAGGGGGAATGAGTTCTAGGTACACACCTGGCGTTGGCCCCAGCATCCCTAGCAGAATGGGTGACTCAGAATCAGTACTCAGTATATGTTGACTGGCCAAAGGGACCAATGTCCTGTGAGCAGCTGGCTTACTGCAAGTAGGCAGCATCATTCCACGGGCTCAGGGATGAGACTTAGGTGAGCAGCTCAGCCACGATATCAATCTCTATGATCCACCTCGATAGAAATCTGTAAGTTCCTCGTTCACCTACAGCAGCTGTTGTCAGCTGGGAGTTACTGTGCCCCCCTGTCACCTGCAGGGGACACTGGTAATGTCTGGAGACATTTTTATGGTTTCTGCAGTTGGAAAGGAGGGTGCTACTGGCATCTAGTGGTAGAGGCCAGGGTCGCTGCTAACATCCTACACTGCCCAGAACAGCACCCCGCCCCCAGCAGACAGCTCTCTGGCCCCAAGCATCTGTAGTGCTGAGGTCGAGAAACCCTGACCGAAGGCAGTAGTTAGATGAGACTAGTACTGTCTTTTCAGTTAGATTGCTTTCTACCATGCTTGCTGCTGTGATAAAATTTAAGTGATAGTTTCCAAAATATGTTTGCACGGTTTAATAATTCCAGTTCCTTGGCTTTCTGATAAATTTGCTCATCCTGGGCTTTTTCTCAAGAAGCTGCTGCTGAGGAGGCTTCCACCACGAAGGGAGAACCTTTCCCAGGGGAGACGCTGCCTGTCGCCTATGGAGAAACCACAGCCAGAGTCAAAGATGACATGGATGAAGTGACCTGTGAAATGCTCCTCAACATGCTGGATAAGTGAGAGAGATTCAGGCTGCCTGTTCACTGCCCCTAATTTCTAAGGCAATCTATAGAAGTTTAGCATTTACTTTGAAACAATTAAGTTCATGACAATGAATGAATGCAAGTTTGAAGTAGTGCCTAGAATTGTTTTCCTGTTTTTAGCTGGATATTTCAAAGAAACATTGCAGGTGTTTTATCAAATCTTAAACCTTGAACGAGAGGGTAACACCTCAAACCTATGAATGTATTCCTTGGTGTTGGCAAGGTGGTCCACAATGAATGAGGAATAATTTTTGGATAATAGTCACTTCAAAGTAGTCTAGAGCAGCTAGTGCTTCAACAGCCAGAGCCGGACATTTTTATGTTTTATGGGTACACCCACGATATTTCTAATAGTATGATTTTAAACGTTAAAGACGAATTTTATATTTTTTATACAAATGAATTTTCTACAAAATTTAAAGCTACCATAATGCTTTTAATTAGTTCTAAATTCAATCAAAAAAGTGTTTTAGTGTTATAAAAAGTAAAAGTGAGTAGGGAATGAAAAACTACCCTAGAAAGTAAGGAATCAATCTGTTTTACTTTGGTATTGGTAGCAAGGTCCACCTTTATAGTTTTGGAGTCTCTCTTAATTATGTTCCTTGGCAGGTATGAAATTGCCTGGTTACATTCCATTATTGCTTATTAGTATTTCACTTCATAATGCTTTTTTCTTCTAAAACTACTTTTTTTATATTTTTAAAATAATTGGCAGAGTGAGAAGAAACATAAAAATCAGATAATGAAACTGTGAACCTGTAAGGAATTTGCACTTTTTCATAACATCCAATGATTAGTGAGTATTTCTCTTTTGCCATTTGACAAGATTTTTCCCACCCTCGAGCAGCATGAGAGATGCCCCTTTAGCACTTGAAATCAGTATCTACCTTTATATGGAGCCAGATTTTTCTTCTTTGCTTAGTTCAGCAGTTTCTTTTGCTGCAAACCTCTCTCTACCCCTGTGTTTTAAGATCATTGATAGGTCCTAAATTCAAATTCTTAAGATATGGATCTGTTACTGAAAATATCACAAATTCAGAAGCTCTATACAATGTGAATATGTGGAAATAATTTCCCAGCAGGAAGAGCATTATTCTCTTTGTACCAGCAAATAATTCAACTCAATTCACGTAAGATTTAAATTCTGTGGGCTGTAGTATGTCATCATTGTAACTGTTTGAATTTTTGCAATGGTTTATTTTTTTACTGTTATTTAAAGATGTTTTACATAATTCAATAAAATGAAATGACTTAAAATTGCTATCTTTGTTATATGTCAGTCCTGGTCCTTAAAAATGCCTTCTTTGTCTGGAGAGAATGTGGAGAAATTGGAACCTCTGTGCACTGTCGGTGGGAATGTGAAATGCTGCAGCCACTCTGGAAAGTAGTATAGCAATTTCTCCAAAAAAAATGGAAATAGAATTAGTATATGAACCACCAGCCCCACTTCCAGATAGACTGGATACCCGAAAGAACTAAAAGCAGGGACTCCGAGAGATGTTTGCACATCCATGCTTATAGCAGCATTGCAAAGGTGGAAACAACCCAAATTCCATCGACAGGTGAATGGATAAACACAATGTGGTATATACATGCAGTGGAATATTATGCAGCCTTAAAAAGGAAGCCCTGAAACGTGCTGCAACATGGGTAAACCTGGAGGACATTATGCTGAGTGAAATCAGCTAGTCACAAAAGGACAAATACCTTATAGGAGGTATCTAGGGTAGTCAGATTCATAGAGACAGACAGTAAAGTGATGGTTGCCAAGCACTGAGGGCTGAGGGGAGAATGCAGAGTTCGTGGATACAGAACTCTGGGATGGATACAGAGTTTATCTGGGATGAAGAAAGGGTTCTGGAGATCAGCAATGGTGATGGCCACGCAGCAATAGGAATCTACCTACACATTCTGCTGAACCATACATTTAAAAATAGGTAAAATGATAGATTTTATGTTGTATTAGTTCTTTCTCACATTGCTGTAAAGAAATACCTGAAACTGGGTGATGTATAAGGAAAAGAGTTTTAGTTGACTCGCAGTTCCACAGGCTGTACAGGAGCCATGATGTTGGCATCTCCCCGGCCTCTGGGTAGGCCTCAGGAAACTTACAGTCAAGGCAAAGGGGGAGTAGTTCTGTCATATGGTGAAAGCAGGAGTCAGAGGGGGAGGTGCCGCACACTGCTTAAGACCAGATCCCATGAGGACTGCCACTGTCATGAGGACAGCACCAAGCACATGGTGCTAAACCATTTGGAAGAAATCGCCCCCATGATCCAGCCACCTCCCACCAGGCCCTGCCTCCAACATTGGGGATTACAATTCAACATGAGCTTTGGGCAGGGACAAATATCCAAACTAATCATGTGTATTTTACTACGACCAACTGTATTTTAATTTCAAGAACAGATAACATAAGAAACATGTTTGAAAAGGCAAGACCAGTTGGTACCTAAACACGGTTTAAATAAATAAATAAAGCTCCTAGACCAGGTGCAGTGGCTCACTCCTGTAATCCCAGCACTTTCAGAGACTGAGGCAGGTGGATGACCTGAGGTCAGGAGTTCGAGACCGGCCTGGCCAACATGCTGAAACCCCGAAAGAACCCTCTACTAAAAATTAGCTGGGCATGGTGGTGGGCACCTGTAATCCCAGTTACCCCAGGGTGGGGGCGGAAGCAGGAGAAACAGTTGAACCGGGAGGCGGAGGTTGCAGTAAGCTGATATTGCGCCACTGCACTCCAGCCAGAGCAACAGAGCAAGACTGTCTCAAAAAAAGAAAAAAAGCTCCTTACAAACACACTTTTATAAATAGTTGCAGTGTTTCACGTGTGTAACACCTGCTGAGATGGAGAACAGAATTCAGAGGAGATAGGCAATACCTACTCAGTTACGTGTGTGACTCTCACCCACACCCAGCAAGAAGGTGAAAAGCCTGCCCAAGTACAGTTAGTGCATTTGATTCCAAAATAGAAGCAGTGACAACAGTGCCCACAAGAGGGCAGTCGCTTCTGTCTTTTCCAATATTGAGACAGGTTTATTATTCAAGGCTAATAAGAACGCAAAGTTATAGCAAAGTCTTGGCAATTTTATTAATTCTATGACACAGAAAGAGAAAATTTTTTCCTTGCCAAGGAAGAGAAGGGACCTTTGTCAAACCTAGGAGTGAGGACACTAGTTGGCTCTGAGTTAGTGAATGTTTGGTGAGTGACATGCTTTTGCTTCGAATAGTTTTGAGACCCAGCAGGAAATAATTCCAGAATGTACACCCCTTGCACAGCTTAACACTTCTGTTTTGCAGGGAGGGAGTGTTTAAATTACAACATTGTCTGACAACAGTTTTACTATATAAAGGGTGGCTTTTAAACAAACCTGAGACCTGGCTGATGCATGTTAGCCTCTATTGTTTGAGATCAGTCACTGGAAAGGCTGGATAGGCGCGATGAAACTGAAGTCATTTTAAATGATAAAGTTTGACAGCCTGCCTTTTGAAAATGGCAAGATAGTTTCCAGATATTATTTCCAGAGTAAATGTTTAATTTTTTTCTGATAACCATTGAATAGTCCTCGTAAATGCATTCCTTATGACTATTAGTCATTAATGGGTTAATGGGTGTTGTAATTTCCACTGAAATCTGTTCCATTCATGCCTTGGGACATTTGGCTTATCAACGAGACTTTCCACATCTCTTCAAGCTTCCATTGCGGTTTACTTGTATTTGAGAGTATCAGATGAACGCAGGTTTTAAGGGGCAGCCTAGTTTATGCTGTGTTTAGCAACTTTTGTACCACGTATAAGGCATGGGTGTGATTATGAACCTGGTTACTTTAAATCATTATCTTTTAAAGTGTGTACAATTTAGCACTTTAAGATGCATATGTTTATTTTTCCGTTCATGGCAGATAGAGTACTATATGGGATGCTCAGTGTGCTTTGTCAGGACAGAAAATGCCATCAACAAATTTAATTAGTGGCTGGTGCCTGTGATCCCAGCACTTTGGAAGACCAAGGCAGGCAGGGTTGCTTGAGCCCAGGAGTTCAAGACCAGCCTGGGCAGCATGGTGAAACCTTAACAACAATAACAACAACAACAAAATACAAAAATTAGCTGAATGTGGTGGTGTGCACCTGCAGTCCCAGCTACTCAGGAGGCTGAGGTGGAAGGATCACCTGAGCCAGGGAGGCTGAGGCTGCAGTGAGCCTTAATGAGCCCACTGCACTCCAGCCTGGGCAGCAGACTGAGAACCTGTCTCAAAAAAATAAAAAATCTTAATTGAGACCAGGTGCCAGCACTTTGGGAGACAGTAGCAGGAGGATAGCTTGAGCCCAGGAGTTCAAGACCAAAGTGGGCAACAGAGGGAGATCCCATCGCTACAGAAAATAAAAATTTTAAAACTTACCTGGGCGCAGTGGCATGTGACTGTGGTCCCAGTACTCAGGAGGCTGCGGTGGGAGGATGACTTGATCCTGGGAGGTTGAGGCTGCAGTGCTTGAGGCTGCTTGCACCACTGCACTCCAGCCTGAGTGACAGAGCAAAACCCTGTCTCAAACAAAAAACTCTTAAGTGCACCACAGTGGACGAAAGCTGGCTGCAGAGTTCATACAGAAAGGCTGTGAAAAGCTCCTCTCAGGAGCAACTGGGAGCCTCAACACGCTGCTATTGTTCCTCTTAATGAAGTATGACCATGTGTACAGGAGTCTAAAGGTTGCTGATTCCAAGACTCATTCTGGTAATTGCTGTAATCATACCCTAAGGCCTGAACTATCAGAAGCAGTAAAATGGCAGAAAATAACATGCTAGACAATTAATTTCTTTCTTTTTTTTTTTTTTGTTTTTGAGACCGAGTCTTGCTTTGTTACCCAGGCTGCAGTACAGTGGTACAATCTCAGCTCACTGCAACCTCTGACTCCTGGGCCCAGGCGATCCTCCCACCTCAGCCTCCCGAGTAGCTGGGACTACGGGTGTGTGCCACCATGCCTGACTAATTTTTGCATTTTTTGTAGAGATGGGGTCTTGCCATGTTACTCAGGCTGGTCTGGAACTCCTGGGCTCAAGCAGTTGGCCCGCCACGGCCCAAAGTGATAGGATTACAGGAGTGAGGCATGGTGCCCAGCAACAATGAAGGACTTTAACTCAATCCCCATGGGTCACCAGATTCCACAGAAAAATATGTGTTTTCTTTTGCTTTTCCAAAGTAGCCCCTTCACCTAATGGCTGCGTGACAATTTCAACACACACTTGTGTGTAGGAAGAGGCTCATCTGGCATTGTCACAGCCTGAGAACCTCTTTGCCGCAACAGGGAGAGCGACAGACTTGCAGTGCTAAAATTATCTGTGAATACAGACACAATTTTAACAGTGATCCAAGGGTCTTTCTATTCGATAAAAACAACCATTGTGTCCGTTAAATAATGCTCTTGATACACAGGCATGCCCAGATTTACCGATTGTATAGCAGGAGTTAGATTCAGCTGCCCTGGAGTTCAAAGCCTGATTTAAAGTGGATACAGGAACAAATATGCCTGTTCTGTCTCTGCGGCAGAGCACCAGTGAGTAGTCTGCAGCTTCCTCAACCCCTGAAAAGAATCTGATATTCGAAAGTCTTCCAAGGAGGTGGAATGGGTCAGAGAGTTTCATCGATGGATATACCCAATTGAGCTGCCAGCTCCCTGGCACACTCACCCCCAGGACAGGACAAAAACCAGAGTCCCCAGGGTCAGCCCCACATGACTTCGGAGCTCCACAGCCTCCCTGAAACGTGGCCATGATTGCTGACCTCACTCTGTTTTGACTTCAGGTGCCCGCAATTTTAGAACGTGATTCCAAGGATGTGGACACGCAATATCCTAGATACAGCCCCATGTTACAGCTGATTACTAGCATCTGATGCCTCAGAGACACTCGAAGTAAAATGCAAGTCATTTCTTTTTTTTTTTTTCTGAGACAGAGTTTCGCTCGTTACCCAGGCTTGGGTGCAATGGTGCAATCTCGGCTCACCGCAACCTCCACCTCCTGGGTTCAGGCAATTCTCCTGCCTCAGCCTCCAGAGCAGCTGGGATTACAGGCACACGCCACCATGCCCAGCTAAGTTTTTGTATTTTTAGTAGAGACGGGGTTTCACCATGTTGACCAGGATGGTCTCGATCTCTTGACCTCGTGATCCACCCGCCTCGGCCTCCCAAAGTGCTGGGATTACAGGCTTGAGCCACCGCGCCCGGCCAAATGCAAGTAATTTTTAAGGAAAGGGTGAGAAGCACAGT